AGTCCGCGTTATTTCGAGCCGCACGGTAAATCATTACCATACCGAAGATCTACTTTCCTAAGTAAATTTATTATGAATAACATAAATGTTTTAAGAACAACGTGTTGTCCGGAATTTTTGCGCAGTGGAAGAGACACGACGATTAATCTTGTCGCGATTAATTTGGCCGTAAATGACTGAGAGCGAGGGTGGGTATCGTCGAGCGTTGTGATATCAAACGGGACGAAATTCGTCAACACCGATCCGCGACTGCTAACGTGGTTTCCTCCGTCACCGAGCAGCAAAAGCGAGATTATTAACGAAATATTCCGGTGCGGAAATGGAGAGGGAAGAAGAAAGGAGAAAAAAACTAAATAAATAAAAGCAAAAGCTTTACAGGCACGCGGAACGATCCCCTTGAAAGTTTAAAGTCAACTTTCGCTTTTCCAGCGTCGATCCGCTGGTAATGCTCTGCTGCTCGGCGCGGCGTGCCGTTCTCCATTCCCCTATCTCCAGGAGTCAAGGTAATACTCGGTCGCAATAAACGCGGCTCGCTGGGACTAAACTTTCCCCGGGGCCGGACGCGCATGATCTAACGGCCACGTGGGAAAATCCGCCCTCCACGTTCGTGCCGGCTCGCCGACGTGAAAACGCTATATCGTTCTCTACCGTTACGCGGAACCGGTTTCCCTCTTTTCTCTCCCTCTCTGGTTCCGAGTGTTCAACTTTGATTTCACTTTGACGCTAGATTTAGCCGGCTGACACACTCGCAGTGTATTTCTCAGAAACTTCTTCCGACACATTCTCATCTGCTACTGTTCCTTTATTACGCGATATTAACTAGAGATTAGAGACCGGCACTTTACGTGAATGAATCGTGCGTCAAAGATTTCACTATAAATGGGTTAGAGAGATTTGAAAAAAAAAAAAAAAAAAAAAAAAAACAGTTATGTCGAAATTGCTTTCTGCCAGATAGTATTTTATTCTAGGATGTCCTTCTCTTTTTCTTCCTTTTTTTTCTTTTTTTTTTTTTTTTCGCGGAGGAGGAGGAAAGCCGCAGGTAGTTTGAACGCGGAGGGTGCGCGCGTGCGGGACAAAAGTTTCCCCGGGGCTTCGAATTAATGGCAAATCCATAGTGGGAGCAGAGCGCGCGTAAGCTCGACCTACCCTCGGCAGGCGTTTGCGTTCAGTGCCTCGAAAGCTCCATCTCTCGAGATACGTCGGTAAGTTACGTAGGCTACTTAACCCTCTTCCACTCGATCCTGGCTTATCCATCGAGTTCTTGACGATCGGTCGATAAACGCGTTTCTCACGTCGAGTAATTATATTGTAACGAAGAAAGTTATATCGGCTATTTTACAAATCGATTGTGACAAACAATTTTCTTCTGTATCGTGCAAAAGTCCGCAGTTTAATGAAAGCAGCATCGCCTTTTATTGAATTGGAAAATTTAATCGTGTCGTTGCACGTTTGCTTCGAAACAAATCGAATCGTTTCGATCTGTTAATCCACTATAGCTAGCAAAGTTAAAATTATCATTATCGAGATAATTCGGTACTCGACGCCCGCTGCCTTTAAACCAATATTACTTCGCATCGTCATTCTAATCACGTGCGAAGGGCGCAGCCTGAAAGACACGTTTCCTATGGAGACTCGTTTGCCTGGCGTGATTCAATTTACTGGCTCGATCGCGGCAATATTGTAGTCGGGATTGTATAATATTCGATGCGTTTACGCGAGCAAAGCGCCGGCTAAATGACGCATGCACGCGTGCACAGCTTAAGCTGATTCAAGAGGGGGCGAGAAGGGGTGGGGAATTGGCAAGTGATGCAGAGCACCACGGGGGATGCTTATTCCTCGTGTGCAACACGGGGTGCAAGCTTAATCTTCGGACGAGCCGAGCGGGTAACCTATAACGGGATGTGTCGGGATTATAAGTTGTAAGCTCCGACCCGCGAAATCCCATTCGTTAATACACGAGCTTGGCGGTCAGGCCGCAAGTGGATTCGAAATTTCTTCTCTCTCTTTTCTCTTTTCTCTTCTTCCTTTTTCTTTTTTTTTTCTGTTGTTTTTTCGCGTGCGAACCCGAAACGGATTATCTTTTATCGCGACAGCATTAAGCAGCTTTCACCAGTAAATACAACTTTTCTTTATTCCTCGATGATTTATTTATATATTTTTCTAAATCAGAATAACAATTCAATTTTTTTATTAACAATAAAATGCCTCTATTTTGGCTTCAATTTATTTCAGAATATATTATATTTATATATTAATATATTATTAATATATTTCAGATATAGAAGAATATATTTCAATTGAAAAAAAAAAAAAAAAAA